CACACATAAAGAAGAGGAGAGATTGCTGATGGAAGAAGGTGAAATGGTGAACTTGACTCTACTGTTAAGTGGCCGAAATTTACTTATAATATGAGTTTTTAAGAAACACTTAACAATATTTTGACCTTATTTTTGTTAGGAATTTCCCCAATTTAGAATACATTGCTTATATTCTTTTTGTGCGGGATTAGGTACAAAAATTGAAAGAAGAAGAAGAAGAAAGAAACCAATAAACTACTTGGAAAAGAAATTAGAAGAGTAGAAAAAGTTTCTTGATCAATGAAACAAGATAACATGGTATAGGAACTCTTGCTCAAGCTAGACATACCTCACTTGAGCTAGAAAAACTGCAACTCATGGTGGTTCTCGGGTTGAATTTTGCTCAAGCGATACATACCTCGCTTGAGCGAGACATGCTTGCAACTCTTGGTGGCTCTCGAGCTGAATGTCGCTCAAGCAAGACATTCCTCGCTTGAGCTAGAAATGCTACAATTTTTGGTGGCTCTCTAGCTTAAGCGAGACTAGGTTAAAGTTTATTTATCGCTTGAGCAAGGAATGGTAGCTTGAGCGAGAAATCATTAAAACAGAGAACATATAAATAACAGAAGAATGTCTTAAGTGGCGGCTGCGTGGAAAAAAAACTGGAGAATAAGGTTTAAGAGATTGAAAAAGGAGAAGAAGATGAGTCAAGTTCTACCTCTGGGCTTCTAACTCTAGTTTGTATCTAATCCCACCATGAGTAGCTAAGTTTATCCAGTATTGAGATTGAATGTAACTTATTAACTTCTTCTGTACTTCTCTTGAGTTACATATTTATGAAATCTTGCTATTCAGTGTTAATGATTTGATTTTATGCCTAAAGCTAAGGTGACTTGATCAACCATCTTTTGATTTCTGATTTGGGTTTATGTTGGGAAACTGAACTTGGATATGTTTAAATCAAATCATCGAATAATGTTGTATACTAGGAATAAATGTGATATTATTAGTTGATATAATCTTGGGCTTAATGTAAAACGCTTATTTTAATGATTTAAGGGATTGATTGTTATAATAGGATTTTTAGACACTCTAAAGCAAGGAATTGCTTAGAGGGAATTTTAGGACTCAATAGTACTAGACTAGAAAAATAAATATGTGAGTAAGAAGAAGATAGAAGAAGGAGATAAACAAAATTTATTCTCAATACATCTATTTGATCTTGTAGTTTCACCAAGTAGTTTTCTGTTTTGACTAAAACTTTCCAATTAATTTATCAAACATGTCCAAATTTATTATTTAATTGCAAGTTAAACTTAAATCTATAAATATTATTGAATACTTCACAAGTATCGAGAATGCGACACTTGTTTATACTACAACCACCCGAGTCGTTTTACGGTAAAAGAAAAATTCTTAACAACTACTTCTATCAAGAAAAAGAAGAATCAAGTTATCCGGAAGAGAAAGATTTCTACTCGACCAATTATAAAGAAATAGTCAAAGTGTTTCTTCTATAAAAAGAAATGACACATGAAGAAATATTGTGCAAAATTTAAGAATTGGTTAGAGAAGAAAGATAATTTCTTTACTCTTGTCTATTATGAATCTAATGTAACTAGTATTAATCATGATGCATGGTGGATTGATTTTGGATTTACAATCCATGTTTGTAATACCTTGCAAGATATGCAAAACTTGAGGAGATCAGTGGGAAGTAAGCAATACATCTATTGGAAAGCAAGATGAGTTCACATGTGGAGGTCATTGGGACATGCAAGTTAATCTTAAGTAGTGGTTTCGTTTTATATTTAGAAAAGACCTTCTATGTTCCTAGTTTTTGTAAAAATTTGATTTTCATTTCACAACTTGTACCTTTGGAATTTTCATTCAATTTTACAAACTCTGGTTTTACTTTATTTAATCAATCAAAAGTTGTTGGTTTTGGTCAACTACGAGATGGTCTTTACTCCATTAATTTACAAAATGACACTACTCATGATTTTATGCATGTTTGTTGCGGGTTAAAACGATGTGTTGTGAATGAGGATTCCTCGATGTTGTGGCACGGGAGATTGAGACATATTACCATTGAGAGAATTACGATTGGTGAAGGATAGAGTACTTAGTACTTTAGATTTTAATGATTTTGATACTTGTGCGGATTGCATTAAGGGTAAGCAAACTAACAAGTCCAAAAAGGGTGTTAAGAGGAGTTCAAACTTACTAGAAATAATTCATACATATATTTGTTGTCTAAATATGAATGCAAGTAATCCGAGATATTTCATCATCTTTATAGATGATTACTCATGTTATATGTATCTCTACTTAATTTGTTCTAAGGATGAAACTTTGGATGCCATTTTTAAAGCTGAAGTAGAGTTACGGCGTGGAAAACAAATTAAGATTTTGAGATCAAATACAATTGGATAATATTATGATAGATACATGGAGAGTGGACAAGCACCTGGTCCATTTGCAAAATTTCTTCAAGAGCATGAGATCGTTGTCCAATACACTATGCTTGGTTCTCAGATCAAAATGTTGTGACGAAAGAAGAAATTGAACTTTAATGGATATGGTGAGATGCATAAGGAGTAATGTAAAATTTCCTCAATTCTTGTGGACTGGAGCACTTAAGACAAGCTGTGTATATAGTAAATCGAATTTCAACTAAGACTATCTTAAAAGACACCTTTTGAGTTATTCAAAGGTTGGAAACCTATTTTACTACATATACATGTTTGAGGATGTTCGTCTAAAGTATGGATATATAACCCATAAGTGAATAAATTAGACTCTAGGATTATCGAGTGAGTATTTAATTCGATATGTTGAAAAGTTCAAAGGGTATAAATTCTATTGTCCATCTCATAGCACTAGAATTGTGGTATCAATAAATGCAAAATTTCTCGAAAATGACTTGATTAGTGGAAGATATTGATTTTGAAAAGGATCATTATAAAGTTCAACCCTCTCAATTAAATGATAAATTGTTAGTCATTCACGCTCCTCCGAGTTCAAGAGCGTGTTAGACAACCAGATTATTCAAGTTCTACAAGTAATTGAAGATGATAATATAAATCAGGTTATTGAATAGGAATAACAAGTAAATGTTGGACAACCTATTAAGCAATCAGTTGAACAACAAGTTTCTCATTAAGGTAGTGAGACAACATTAAGAAGATCTACAAGCAATGTATTGTATTTATGAAGGTAGTGAGACAACATTATGAAGTGTATTTTTAAGAATCAAATTATAACATTGAAGTAAAAAATGATCCTGAAATGTTTTCACAAGAAATGAATTCTAAGGAATCGAATTTGTGGTATGATGCTATGAAAAATGAGATGAATTCTATGATGTCTAATCAGTCTAGGATCTTGTTGAGTTGCCTAATGGTGTAAAATTCATTGGATGTAAATGGGTATTTAAAACTAAGAAAGATTGAAAATGTAACATTGAGAGACATAAAATAAGACATGTTCCCAAATGGTTCACTTAAGAGAAGAAATCAATTCTAAGGAGACATTTTCTCTTTTATTTAAGAAGGATTCCTTAAGGATAATCATGACATTAATAGTTAATTTTAATTTTGAGTTACATCAAATGAATGTGAAAACGATCTTCTTTAATGGTGATCTAAAAGAAAAGGTTTATATAAAACAACATAAATTATTTTTCTATAATAATGATAAACACTTAGTATGTAAGCTTAATAAATCTATCTATGGATTAAAACAAGTTTCATATTAATGGTATTCAAAATTTCATGAAGTCATTTCATCATTTTATTAGTGAATGACATTTTACTTGTAACTAATGACAAAAAAAATTATATAAAGTGAAACAGATTATTTTGGATAACTTTGACACAACAAATGATGCAATGACAACAATAAAACCTATTTAACATATAAAAACATAGTTATCTCAAAAGTTTACGTTGATAAATGTTAAAAAATCATTTAAAATCTAATATATAATTTTGTGTAAATAAATAACTATTTTAATTTTGGTAATATGTTAGACGCAAATGAAAATATGAATATATTTATATATATATATATATATATATATATATATATATATATTATCATGACGTGGCTTAAAAATCCACTGCTTATAATTAAACATGTAAACTAATGATGACTAATTGAAGGTTGAAAGGATTAAAAATGCTTCTTTCTTTATAACATTATACCCCTATTAATTGGGTCAAAGTTAGTCTTTTAATTTCTGTTTCTTGTTTCGAAGTTGGACCATTACATGTTTCTTTAACATTTTTTTACTAGCTGCAGAAAATAAAATTGGGCCATCGGCAATCAAAACAAAGACAAGAGATACAAGAGGAATTATGTACAGCATTGGAAAATAAAAGTAAAAAATATAAAGAATATTCTAATTTAGGGATAAGTATGTATTTTATTTTCGTATTTTTATTTAATTTTATATTTTTTAAATTGATAAATTTGATCTTTTTATTTTTTGAAATATGTGATTATTTTTTAAAATTAAAATTTAAAATTCAATGAGTATTTAACCTTACCTACATATTATAAATAATCACTAAATTAATAAAACAAGTGATTTTAATTATCTATATCTATTTTTTTTATCTTTACAAGTTTATATTTTTAAAATGTAATTTATAAATTAGGTTTTAAAATATAATAACCAAAATAATTTTTTATTAAAACTATAAGAAAACATATGTAATCTTTCAATTATATAATATTTATAATTTGTTATAATATAATATAATCTATAGTTTACTATAATATAATATTGTAATTATAAATTAGTAAAGAATTATATAATCGCATAATATTCTAAAAGTTTAATATAATTAGGTGGAAAACATAGGAGCATAAGTTTCGCTTTGCTGGGTTCCCCTTTAAAACCCTCACTTTCACGGGGAAATTACAGTAGTTCTGATTTTAGGGTTTAACCGGATATCTCTCACTTCTACTCCTCCTACCATCTTCCTACGATTGTGTTGTGCATTTCTGTAGCCATGGCGAGCACCAAAGTCCAGAGGGTTATGACTCAGCCCATTGTACGATTCTTTTAATTTTTTTAATTTTTTTTTTTGCTGAAGTGTAACTATAACCTAACCTCGTTCGTTTCTTTGGTTTGTTCAGAACTTGATTTTCAGGTTTCTTCAGAGCGTAAGTTTTTGTCGCGCTCTCATTCTGGTGGATAGTTCTTCTGGGTTTTCCCTAATTTCTATCTAACATGGTCCTCTTTGTCTAATTGTAATATATGCAGAAAGCACGTATTCAGATTTGGCTGTTTGAGCAAAAGGATTTGAGGATTGAAGGCCGAATCATTGTGAGTCTTATCTTTTATGCTTTTTGTGGCATGGTTCTCGTCAAATTTGTGTTCTGTCGACACTAAATGTTCGTCGAGGAGATGCAAAGTCTTCATTCCGCGGGAAGACTTTGTCACACTTTGTTCTTTTTTTTTGTGTGTGAATTTGTTTGCTGTGTGATTATCTGTGTATTGGTCTGTGACAGACTTTAGCTTAACCGCGGTGTTCTGTTGTTACTTGAAATTTTTTCTTCAAAAAGTGTTTACTAGTCATGCAGTTCAAATTAACCAACAACTTTTATTTCATATTGTCCAAAAGTGCGGAATTTTTTCGTGCATTTTGTGATATGACCTTGTATGTTAAATATTGTGATTAAAATAGGTTTATCTCAGGTTCTTTTGTGAATCTTTTAAGTTCTTTGGGGATCGGGAAGAGGAATGAATGGTGGTAGTTGTATGCAGCACATCCTTTAAGAAGGATCATCTGACTTGTTAGTTTAAGGATAATCTGATTTTATTGTTTATCAATCAGGGTTTTGATGAATACATGAATTTGGTTCTTGACGATGCTGAGGAAGTGAACATCAAGAAGAAGAGCAGAAAGACATTGGGTATGGCACAGTTTCTCAAATTTTGTTCTATTTTGCCTTTGCCACTTATGTATTTTCTGAAGGATTTTATTTTTTGATTAGGGAGGATCCTTCTTAAAGGAGACAACATAACATTAATGATGAGCACGTAAGTAGAATTAAACTTCACTTTTATATCTCTGACGACAAGCACTCGCTCAAAATCAAAATTTTACACTTTCTCGTGATTTTATTAAATTAATTGAAGTTAATCTCTTACAATTTCCTCTTCTTAATTCCAGGGGAAATGATGTACACTCTGGGACATTTGTAAACTATATTCCTATCGAACAAGGCAGAATTATCTTTACCTTTTGGTTTGTATTCATCTAACAAACTCTCAAACTGGAAGTTGATGATTTTATGATTGTGGAAGTATAGCACCAATATTACAACCTTTCCCTCATTTATTGACTTTCTCATTTTATTATGTTTATGTTATATCTTATTCAACACTTAATGCAAGTTTGTTAGATTGATTTGTTTGGGATGTCTTTTTGCCATATTTGCTAAGGTTCTGCAATAGATAGATGTCTATTGTAGTATATAATAGTTCATTTTGATAGCATACACTTTTAGATGTATTGATTTGATTGCTTCAAATACTGAGAGTTACTAGATGTGGTCTCAGGTATGAAATAATTCCAATAGTATTAGAAAGTTGCACGATTAATATATTTTAGGAACAAGTTTTATGGTGGAACCTGTGTAGGTAGCGGTTTCTTATAGTGTTTTTTAATTTCTTACTCATCATCTCTGATTTGGTTAGGGGGAGGGGAGGGGGTGGGGGTGTCAAGGGAGGACACTAACTCATTTTTGGATATTATTAAATTATGCTTGTCTTTAACCTGGGGCAAAGTGGTTAAGTGCTATCCCCCAATTCCTGGTCCTTGCTTTATGGCTTTATCATTTTTCGCTTAACTCTGATTTTTTCTTCCTTTGTAAGGTATGCCCTCATTCCTCATTTGGTTTGGTTCCAACCGTACATGATGTACCCATATCTTTTGTAGATTTGTTATTGTAATTTATCTTTCCATTCAAAATACATACATTTCTCTCACGCTGGCTTGTGTTTCTGCGTGCTTACCAAGATAGTCAAAATTGAGATCTTACTTAAGATTGGAAATGGTTGTATTAAATTAACATATATGTCTAATATTTAAATTTCAGAGGACATTTTTATTGATTTTGATTGAGGCTGCCTTCCCAGTGCATTAATTTTTTTAGTCTAAAGGTGGGGTTGGGTAGGGTTATTAGGCTTTAGGATTGTTGGGTTGGTGAGGAGATTTAGCCTAATAATACTTAGGTCATACATGGAAGCTGCACACTGCCACACCTACATTACACCCATAATTCAGTGACCCAGCTGCTGCACCCTCAACAGCGTTGCAGCCGCCGCACCTGCATGACGCAGTTGCTTCCACCGCACCTATCGCGATGGCATTGCAGCCACCGCAACCACGCAACAGTGTCGCAACCACTGTAAGTGTAGAAGAGGCACAAGTGAACTAGAAGAAGATCGTTGTGCTGTTGTCAGTTTCGATCTTCACTGACAATCCTACACAATCCTACACGATCCATTGAAAATGCAATCTAGAGGGCATTCGAACTCGGAGAAAGTGACAAAAATCATAGAAATGTACGATCTTACAGTTCAACTCGTGATTTTGACTAACATGGTGTTTAACTTTATGCTCTTGTTTGTTACCTTTGACGTAAGATTGCTTTGTTACCCATAGACAGTAGTCACTGGATCTTACAGCAAACTCTTAATAGAAAAAGTCAAATTATTATGAGAATATTCATTGTTCTTATTTTGTGTAATCATGAGCAATAACTGGAAGTTATTTTGAGTCTCCATAAATTCCAGTAATGTTTGCTTTTTGAGTCTGTATTTTGTCCACCTTCCAAATGAAACTGTTGATGTGCTCATTGCATTGTCTACTGTATTTAGATATGGAGTTTGTTGCCTCTACCAAATCACTGTTTGGTTATCAAATGAGACTTTTTATTTATTTATTTTGGTGTGTTATTTTTTTTTGCTTCTTGAATTTGAAATTAAGTTTAAGGTATTTTTATGACATTAACTTCAGTAACGGGTTATTTTTTAACTTTTTTTGTTTTAAATCTTTGAGAGGCATTGGCTTCTTCATATAGTGAGTTTTATTTTTGTAGATATGGAATTATATCAAATATTGCTTGGTGTTTTAGGTTTCATGTGAGTTGGTGAGAGTGAACCTGTTTCAGTTCTCTCAGTCTTTATCTTTAGTGTGAAGGTTTTTTGTCATTTCTATATAGCTCGATAAATATATACTTTTCATTCACTCTTACAACTCATTAATTAATTTTAACAGCCTTCAGGTTCAGGGTTTCAATATTCTACATTTAGACACCTCCATCTCGCATCCCTTTTTTGTTTATTTATCAGGGAGAAAGCTATTTAGTTTTTTTAAGGTTAAGTTAATTGTGCATGCCAAAATCATTGTCTCACTACATCCTGGGTTTAAAATAGTACACTGCATGGCTTTGTGGCTCCTGACTTCTCCTGGGACCACAATAGCCTAGCGGTTATATAGCTGCCCTTTCAAACAGGATAGCACCAATGAAATAGGGGCAGTTATGGGGAGGATTGTGGCACTGTGGGATGATTCCAAAAACCCCCTTGAACAGATGCCGAGGTTTTTTTGGGGGTTATTTTAGGGATTTATTTAATTTTCCAAAAATTGCAGACTAGTCAGTTGTGCAGCACCCACCTGCACCAGAAGGTTGCACCCACCTTGTGGTTGTGGCTGTGTCCTGCTTCGTGGCCAAAAATCGTGGTAGATTGTGCTGTTTCATGGAGGTCTGTGATGTGATTTAGGTTTGATCCAAGACTAGGATATCTGGGTCGTTTAGATGTTTGTGTTTATTTTTTGTTCATTTAGGGTAAAAAGTTAACTGATTATTTTAACCTATAAGTTTATCACCTCCAAAGTTTTTCACTCCCCCTCTTTTGCAAATCAGCCCTTCCCTTCCCTGATCTGCCTCTCAACTTTTCAACTTTCTGCGTTCTGTTTCTCTATTTCTGGCAGCGTTTCTGATATTGACTACTATGATAATATGTCAACCCAGCCATTGGTTCTCTATTGTCACGAAATTGTTTCTTCTCAAAACTAGCTCTGCCTTTGGTCTGTTGATCTTGCTTTGCTTGTGTTATTATGTGACTCCGTTATTCTGATGACTGCATCAGGGGTCTCTGGCAAGTACTTCTGTTGTCTCTGGTGGTGATTGCCTGCCTCTTCTCTCTGGCTTGTGTTGCTGTACTGTTCTGTTCTGTTCTGTCCTCTGTCTGCTTCATGTCACTGCCATTGTTAATGTCATGACTTTTAAGTATTTTTATCATTTTCAGAATGTAAACTAATTATATAAACTATACAAAGATGCCTGAACAGCAGCTATCTGCTATCCTATTATCTACTGACACGCTATTTTTTTTTTTGGGCCACCTGCTATACACATCTTGAATTTGCAGCACTAACATCTTTCAAATGACATGAAACACAGTTGGAAAAGTATCTCTCATGTAGAATTAAGCCTATAGTACCATAATATTTATTTGATAGAATTGGTTTGTGTGCACTTGAAATTAAATTCCCTCTGAGCCGGGGTCGGGATGGGAGATGACCACCATTTGTTTACAATTATATGTATTTTTATTCTGTTACGTACGAGTTATAAGCTTGTGTCCCTTTAAAGTTTTATCTAGTGAAAATTTGACGTGTGAAGTAAACTCGGGAAGAATGATTGGAGTTCCTGAATTTTAAGATGAAGCTAGCAGATTGATTTCAATTTAGAGTTATTGCTGTCAAATTATCCTTTACATTTTACAGTTAAAACAGCACTCATTGTTGGGTTCTCCAGAATGCATACCTCTGTAATGCTCTAAACATATTTGAACTGGCTGCGTATTACCTTTCTTGGTATGTGTTTTCCTTAAAACGTAACAGTTCTTCCACCCAGTATTTGCCTTTTCGCTTTGTCAGTTTGCTCGTGCGAGTTCTTCCTTAAAACGAATTGCCTTATCTGATGTTTTTGTATGGTGCTTCTGTGGGTGCCTTGGCATCTTCGGTTTATGATATTCTGATTCGTGTCATTTTTTCTCAATTTATGATATTTTGCCTTCTTATGTTTCCGATTTGAACACCCTGCTAAAAATTGAGTTTCGAGAATTTAAATTTTGTTAACACCGGAGACATTTAATGCATAGATATCAACTATTTGTACCAGTTATTTTTGACAGCGATATACATTTGAAATGAACGTTTCCTTTCGTAAATTCAGTATCATGAAATTTTATGTCCACTGTCCGTAATGTTAGCACTTAATTTTTGCTTTTTGTGATGTATGAATGCTCACATTTTTATACCCGTGCTCAGGTTCCACTGCTATATGCCCATGATGACGATTAAAATAAATGCTCTTACTTTTAGTTTGACATGATTAATACCCAAGTTTCATGAACTATTTAAATAAACTTCGTTTTTTGTTACAATGTTTATGTCTTTTATCTTTTATTTTTTTAGCCAAGATAACAATGTTTGCTTTTAATTTTTGTAACAAGAATAACACAAATAATAAATTCAGATTATTTTAATGATGCTATTTGCTTATAATCTACTGGAAAATTTCTACTTAATTTAAAAGAATCGTGGTATATATATATATATATATATATATATATATATATATATATATATATATATATATATATATATTATCTCGTATTATAGTTTGCCAATAATTTTTGGAAGGGCTTGATTTTAAGAAGTACTATTATCCTTACTACGATTCTTCTAAATTTCTCTTTGGTTTCGCCTGGCCGCTGTACGTTGCACGGGGTTATCTAATTTTTATTTATTTTTTTAATGATGAATTAAAGTTGATTTTGTTTTAGTGTGTGGGTAAAATAATGAAAAAAACTTAAATATAAATGAACGTCTTAAAATATTTAATCTATAAAAGAAAAAGATAAATACATGAAAAATATAAAGTTATAAATATATAAATACTTGAGAAATATTGTTATCTTCCATCCATCATGTTATTGGTTTCTTCATTGAGCTTAAGATAAAATGGTAAGTGATATATGTGTATATTAAACAATTAACAATAACTTTATAATGAGATATTCACTTATTTATCATTTTTATCTATTATTTTTTTATAAGCGAGCAATTAAAGAAAGTTAGTTTGTAAGAAGAAAAATGATAATAGAATATTTTTTTAAAATTTGAATTCAGTGTAATTTTTTTTTCCTTTAGAAAAATGATCTGTAAAATGGTTTAAATAGAAAATAATAGTGTTTCTTGAATATAAGAGCAACGTAAAAAACATCTAAGGAAATTAACCGGAAAGTTGGATGTATTAGCTAAACGTATTTTGATGTACACTGATTTCCTTTTTTCGGGGGTGTTTGTCTAATCTTGTGGTGATGTTGGCGTTTTTGTTATTATTGTTATGGTTGAGAAAAACGTCAAAAGGAACACTTCGCTTCGCACTTCACATGATTTTTCATGCCTTGTGTATTTACGAGAGGATTCAAGTTGTGCCAGATGTTTGTCTAAGAATTTTTTCCCACTTGATACTGATTTGCAGGTTGGAATGATAAGATTTGGATAAGGTATTATTATTATTATATTATGATTTATACTTCACATTTTAGTTAAATATTTAGTGACTTTCTTCTTACACTTTTATAATTTTGATCCTGTATCTCTGTAATTAAGGATGTGCGTAACAATATTATATATTTAATATTAGACATCAGTTTTGTTATACAATTTCTTAGCTAATTTGTTCAAGTTCTATCTTTAACACTATCATCAATTTGTCCAATGTCTGTTACGATACATAAAATTATCTTCTGCGAGTTAAGAAATTAATCATTACCCCAAAAATTCAAATACACATGTACAAGTTTTTAGTAATTCTCTTATTTAATTATGCGTCGTTTCATCGTTGAATATTATGTTTTCCTTGGAGATCCATTGGTATCTTAGAGAACGAAAAAATAAAGCACTATTTTAAATCTCCAACCCATTTGTTCATTTCAACAACATGCAGATGTTCTCACTAAGGCTCTGGACCATTATAATTTTCATTGACTTGTAAATAAGTTTGGAGTTCTATCTATCCACACTCCAACTTGAGGTGGGCGTATTGTGATGTAACCTTTTTTCTGTTTTTCTATTTTGGGTATGTTACTTTCTAGGCCCATCTTTCTTTGTATTTATAGTCATTCTCACTTATGTTGCATACATGCAGTAATAGTGATAATATTTTCATTTTGTTTTTCTATCTTTCTTCCTTCGTTTGCTTCTCATCTTCCTTCCTTCCGCAATAAGTAACCATAAATCTGTTATGGGGATTGAGAATACAGTTTCGGATATTAGAAATACAGTTTTCAAAAAATTGTATGAAAACATACTCTAGAGAGTGAGTTCTAGAATATATTTATGGAATTGATTTTTAAATCCATTTCAAATTGATAGATCTAAAATACACTTTTTGATTGCACTCTAAATGTATTATGAACCCACCAATCTAGAATACATTTTAAAAAAATCAATTTTAAAAATATATTTTGGAATCTACTTTTTGAAAAACATATTTCTGAAATATATTTTTAAATTGATATTTTTGAAAATACAATCTGAAACCACTAATCCAGATTGCATTTCTAGATTGATTTTTTCAGAAATACATTCTAGAATGGGTGTTTCATAATACATTTATAAAAAAAGACAATTCAAAACTGCATTTTGAATTGATATTCTAAAATTTAATCTGATTTTCGTAAAAATATTTTAGATTGAATAACATGAATCTCGATATATAATTTCAGTATAAGAATATGTAATAGATATTTAACATTAACTATTACTCATGTTTAAGGAGTTGAATAAAGGTGATAACATAATAAATCAAATCTACAAATCTATAAAGGTACAGAAATTTCGTAGGAAAATAGAAGAAGAGGTTAAGATTTGAAACAAAATTTATTGAAATGGAATTTTAGTTATTTTACTTTGAGATGTGAAGGCACAATTAAAAGAGTGTAGGAAGAAATTGGTATTTCTTAATATTCGTAGTTATAACTTATAATTTGACAATATTGTAATAACATGATTCTTCAGGGATTTATGCATACTTTTGAAGTCTTGTTTGAAGATATTCATATTCCTAAGCCTAAGTAACTTGATCCGAACATGGTATTTGTCTCTGGATTTGACCAAGGCGGGAAGAACTGAATCGTGATGTGTTGAGAAAACAATTGCTTTCTTTCGCTAAAGACTTATCTCTGATAAGACTTTTCAATATAAATTTTATATAATTTAATTGTGAAATACTTAGGATATAGCTCCATTCAATAACATAGTTTAAGCTTAAATTTTTAAAAGGAAAATAACTTTATACCATACCTTAAATTTTGGTTTCAAAACCTCTGTTTATATAATTTTATTAAAGTCATTACGTAATATAAAGAAAGAAATTTAATTTTAATTAAAAAAACCCATAATCAATAATATTTATGGTGTTACATATATTTTCTTCTTCTTTTATAAATAAAATGTAAATAATAACAAAAATCGATTTAAGTACGTCCATTCAATTAAGAAAAATATTAATTATGCATTACATTGATTATGCAAAATGTGTAATACTTTTCAAAGTGTTTGTTTGTCCCTGCTTTCCTTTCCTGTAAAGGATTAGTTATGAACTTGCATTGCCAGTTTTTTTGGACAAAAGAAAAGAAATAATAACCAGTATTCTATCATTAAAAATTAAAAACAATTTTTTATTGAATTTAATATTAGTCCAGCATGTAAAAGTCTTTGATATACTAAAACCTACAAGTAGGAGTATCTATAAAAAAGAAAAAAAAGATTTAGGAACTGAAAGTTTAGAACAAGATTATAAGACTAAAATATCAAGAATTTAGGAAAGAAGAAAAATTTAAAAAGAAAATGATAGGAAAATAAAAATTGTAAATGAAATTGCATTTATATTCCGTTAATAAAAATATATTTTTTTTAAATATTAAAAAAAACATATAAATAAATACTACATGTAAAAAAAAAAAAAAAAATTAAGAGTGGATGGAGTATCCCAATAAATAGGAGTAAAAGGAATAATGCAAAGTCCTAAATCAGTGCAGAGATGGGTTGGAGCTATGAAGCTTTCATGTGATTACGACACAAGAGAGTGGTGTGACTGCTACGGGTGGTGTGTAAGGGTATACATCTCTGCACAAATTGAAAGGGCATTCCAATTAAACACATAAGAAGCCATTGAAGGGTCCCCTTGTTCATGCCCTTAATGCACCACGCTCCTCAGCTTCCAATTTCATTGCCATTTTTATGTCTCCCCACGACCAAACATGTGTGCTGTTCATCTTTTGTTATTTTCCACCCACTACTCCTACTCATCATCCACTCACCTATCCCTCAATGTCTTGTTTTGTTTCCTTTATGTTGTTTCCTAGGTACTACTTCTTCCTTATATTCCTTATCTCGCCAAATGTAACACATAGGACTCTGTAACATTTGGGAAGCTGCTGTCTAGTGTCCACCAATACCACACCTTAGTGGCTACGCCAGATTTTAAACGCGCCATTCATGTAAATCACGCATTTCCATTTGTCATATATGTTATGATGATACTTTATATATAATATTATTTACTACAAATCTCCCTGAGCTGACAACTTGGTTTTGGCGTTGTGGATATTGTTGTAGTGAGGTTGTGTCGTTTTTTCCTGGTAATGCACCGAGAATAATGTTGCTCTGTTTGGTCTAGTGGGGGAATGATTGCAGAGGAAAAATGTATTTCATTATTGAAGTGTAGTTGCTGTGGTAGCACTATTCTGGCTTCTCATTCTCTTCCTTTTAGCGTCAGATGAAGTGATCGATCACCATAAGTTATGAACTGTCGATGCTGACTGATTTACCAATGCATCAATGTCTTCAGTGTGCCACTTTTATCTGTATCTTTCGTCACCGATGAATCAGTTTGTTAAGCGAAAAAGAAAGAATTAAATGCCACGTTTATATATAAATTAATTTAAGAAAAAAATATAATTCTTTCTTTTTAAAATATAAAAAATACGGAACTTACCATCCTTACTATTTCTTTTACAACAGGGACAACACTTCTCCCTAATTAAACTATTTTCATACAATAAATAAAGTCACGTAAAATAAAAATAATGTAAAATATTAAATTTTAACACATTAAAATAAGATAATATAATGAAATGCATGTCACTGCTGATGTAAAAAATATGAATAAACGGATCTGTACAGTAAATTTGTAAATAAGATAAATAATGTGAAATGTAATAGTTAAGTCGTGCAAAATTATGCTAACTTACGTATTATTCTTGCAATGTTATTTGGAATATTAGCTTTTTATCACATCACTTATCTTATCAAAGGTTTTCTCAATCTTTGTTCGAATTTGTTGTTGAAAAATAATTTGTCATGCTTTTTGTTAGGCTTTCCTAGTCTTGATCTGTCTCATCATGCTGACCAGAAAATCAACAATGTGTCCTACAACGGTTAATCACAATCTCAAGTGGTAGATTGCAGTTGTTTCTGTTTATTATTCTGGTGCTTTATTCAGCAGATTTTACTCCTGCAACAAGGATAATAGTATCTTCTCCACACTCGTTTAGTATCATATTCATATCCTGTTCTCTGAGAATCAACAACACAGGAATGATGAGGCATGTCAACCTCCCTCTGCTCCAAGATTTGGATTAGCCAAAGCCAAAGTAACCAATTGGAGTGAAAAGTATCAGTAACATGAAATGCTGCAAGTGGAACAACATGTATGCAGTTGAATGAATCATCATGCACAACATGATTATATTTGTGTGCCATTGAAAGCTGGAGAAAGAGAAAGAGAGGTGAGAAGTTGTGTGAATGCCGACACCCGCATTACCTCTCGTCAAAATTGGAATCATAGAGGGGGCCAGGATGCCACCAACAGACCATTAGTGCTCTTCAGACTCAGCTTGTAACTGAGTTTTTATATTTCTTTTCATTGGCCCAAATGTTCTTTACAAGCAACTCAATAAGCTAGTTGCTAGATTTTTGTGCTGTCAAACTGATTGGGATTTTTGGTTTGCAATGTATGGGCAAACAACATGATGTAGAACCTTGTTCAGCATGCTATGAGGTACCCTCAGCGGATATTACCCTACTTGTTCTGCTCATGAAACATCTGCATCACATCAAAATTTACCTCTCCACGAGGAACGATTCTTCTGCACTAACATTCTACTATTTTATCAAAATTAAAACATGTTACACCTACACATGTTTTACCTCAAAATATTCTTCTACTAATTTTGGATGGTTACAAAATTACATAAAATGTTCCTCTCAAGTGAATCTGTGTCAATGATTATGTTACTGTCTTTAAAATCGGATAGGATAGGTTAGTATCGAAATTTGGTACGTTGTGTTTAAAAAATCAAATTTGAATTAACTGATATAAAATTAAAAAAATAATACAAAATAAAAAAATAAGTTAAATTTTTTTAGTAGAATAAACAATTATTTAAAGATATTATTTTAAAAGATAACTTTTATAGAAATGATATAATTTTTTTTTATCTTTAAGAATCATATTATTTTAAATAATAACTATTTTATTTTATTTTTATAATTATTAATTTTTTATTATATTTTATATTTGTAATCTTTATAAATTACATGGTTAATAATATATATTTTTTAAATTATTATTATTAATAATAAGTTTATTATATACTTACTATATTATTAAAAAATATTATATTAAATTTGTGGTGGATTTGTTGAATTTTTAAACTCGTAGTTTTATTGACTAATCTAATTTAAAAATATTGATTAGATTGAAATCAAACAATATATATATATAATTTAAAAATACTTTTTTTACCATAATCATATTATGTTTGATTATGTTTAATTAAGAATGCTAAGAAAATATATACGACAATGAATAACTATTTATTAGAGAAAATAATATTTAAAAATAAGATTTTTTTCCTTTTTATATATAAATAAAAAATAAAAAAACATTTTTAAAAATAATATATATATATATATATTAGAATGGAAATTGACATTTTTATATAGCTTTTCATGAATAAGAAAACACTATTTTTATTATTTATTGACACTTTCCACGTCGGTTCCATATGAACCGATGTGGAAAGTCTCTTTTTTTTCACCTAAAAATTCACTTAAATTTGAAAATTGTCACCTGGTAGAATTTGAACTCAAGATTTTAGAATTGAAAACTAATACTCTAACCACTAAACTATTATAATTTTCCGATAATAACTTACAAATAAATTATATTTATATATAAATAAATATATATATCCATGTAAATATATATTTATTTGTATATATTTTCTCGGAAAGTATTTTTATTTTTTTTTCAGCCAAAATTCACTTAAGTTAATGAATTGTCACTGACGGCATTTGAACCCAGTATTTTAGAGTTGAAAGTTAATATCCTAACCACTAAACTACTATAATTTTTTGATAATAACTTACAAATAAATTATATTGGTATTTTTCAATTAAGGGTGAAAGTTGGATTGACTCTCGCTTGAGTGAAAATATGTTAAAGTTCACTGGAAATTCACTTACTCAAGCCTCGCTTGAGCGAAAATTGGTATTTCTCGCTTGAGAGCGAATGACGCGTTTCCCAAATTTATTTTATATCATTATATAAATAAAATTATAAAGATTATATTCTGTCATTAAATTACAAACTCATATAAAGATACTTGCTCACAAATTTAGCATCAAATTTTGAAAACTCACTCGACACACACTTTCACTTTCGAGTGTGCCCTCACATCCAACATATAAATATATAACTATATAAATATATCAAAATATATAAATATATTTGTATTTATATATTTACACGGATATATATTTATTTGTATATAAATATAATTTATTTGTAAGTTATTATCAGAAAATTTTAGTAGTTTAGTGGTTGGAGTATCAACCTCCAACTCTAGCTAATGACAATTCTCTTAATAAATTAATAAACTTCTAAAAAATATAATATAAAGAGAGGGAGACTTCTAGATAAATAAAAGGGGGTAAAGGGGTTGTAAATAAATAAAAATTATTAATTTAAAAAAGCATACTTTCAACGTCGGTTTATTAGAACCGACGTTGAAAGTTACGACTTTCGACGTTGAAAGCCTTTAAGAACCGACGTTAAAAGTTTTATTTGTAGTAGTGTATATGTAAAGATTTATACATTCCTAGACATTAACTTTTATTTTTGGAAACAATTTGTTTCAACCTATTCAATGCTTGTAAAGGTTATACCACCCTAAGAATTAACTTAATTTTTTTTTAAGAATTTAGCTTCACATGAATTTGTTGGCATATTTATGTAAAATTAACAGCAATGGTTATGGAGTAATTAACAAAATTATCATTTTATGTTTGGGTATTTATCAAGTTTCAATTAATAAATAAATTATTAAAAAATAAATTTCTTAAATAATTATAATAATTAAAACACGTGACTATGGGTGAACTAAACACTCACAAAACTTTCATATTTTTATTTTTATAAAAAAATTATAATAATAAAAAAATTTAAATAAAAAATAGGAATAAAGATAATAAAAAAATCTCTAAATTTAAATGAGATGATTTATAGAAAATTGAGTAATCTTATTTATAAATCTTTTAATAAATATAATAAATATAAAATTCAGATTAATACACTTTTAAATTGATTATTAAAATAATATTTACTCTAAAATTTAGCCAAATAAATATATATATATATATATATATATATATATATATATATATATATATATATATATGGAGCTTGTTTCTACCATCTTTCATTATTTGATATTAGAGACGTTAAAATAAGTTTAGTTTAATGGTTGGTCTTAAAAGTCCGATAAATAAGTTAAAATAGATAAAAACAATTATAATATAAACTGAATTATGTCTATTTTGATATGATGCATATGAGTTTGGATTAAGTTAACCCGTAAATTTATAAGTCGATCTATTTTATAGAATAATATATAAATTAATTTAATTAAAATTTAACTTATTTTTTTTAAATATCAAAATAAGTTTCTAACCATCATTTATCTAATGATTAAAATTAATTATTATTTTATATTAATAAATTAATAATAATAAAAAAATAAGTTTTTAACTCTTATATTTAAGAAGGAACTATTATTTTATAATTTATAAATATATTATAAATTAATTTGATAAAAATTTCATTTTTTTAATATTAAAACAAGTCTTTAACAATTATTTATTTTAATATCTAATAATTAAAATTAATTATTATTTTATATAAATAAATTAATAATAAATGAATAATGATCCGAAAGAATAAGTTTTATATTTGAGATTGAATAATCTATTATCTTATAATTTATATTTTAAATAAAAATTAATTGTATTAATATAATTTTAATTTTAAAAATATATGTTATTTTTATTTAAATATATTTTTTAATTATTTATTTTAATATAAATATATTACTAATTTTTTTAATTTTTAATTAGAACAAAATTGTCCTATGACTTAAAATAGAATTAAGCTAGATTAAAAAATTATGAATTATTTTAAAATATAAATAAGAAACATATTTATTTTTTTAAATAGATGAAAGTGAGACTGATAATAACCCTATTTAATACTTCTTTTATTTTTTATTATATAATATGTTATTATTTGTTAAAAATTATTTATTAAAAAAATAGACATGTAAATAGTTATAAAGTAATTGTTTCTGGTGGATTTTTGATCGAATTCAATTCTAAAGGTGATTTGGTCCTAATCAAAATCCTCCCACGTAAGTTCTTTTTACTTAGGCTAGCGATCTGGCTTTCAATCGAAAACATGTATGAGAATCGAAAGTTACAGACCTATGAAAATGCTATTTTTTAGTGTTTTATATTTTAAAATATCAAAAGCAATGAGAATATCGAATCGAGAAACGGAATATTAAATTGCGAGGAAATGTAAAGTGCGAAAACCCCAAATTTGCATTAATTGTAAATGACAGGAAATCGAGAACAACACAAGTATAAATGACAAGAAATCGAATTGCAAGAAAAGTAAATGACAGGAAATCGAGATTTGCGAGAATGTTAAATAACATGGAAACTTAAGTGCGAAACTTAAAACTTTCATTGAATTGAAATGACAAGGAATCGAAAATACGAAACATAAAGCTGCTGAATTTAAATTGCATCAAAGTAAATTACCAAGGAAAATACGAAAACGGTAAATGAACTCGGTGAGCATGGAAATCCAGATTGCCGGAAGCTTCATGGTGTTCATCATTCTCCGTAGACTTTCTCACTACCGATTACGTTTTCGCCAATTCTCGCTCCTCTTCGCTCCTTCATCTTTTCTCTATTTATAGGGCGTCGTTCAAGCCTTCTAAGAGCAGTTAACAAGACTACTACCACGTTCTTTCGTGCATGACAGTTTCTTTTCTGCAGTTTCCCACGTTCTCACGATCCTCGACTCCTTCCATGATTCCAGAACTGCTTTCTATACGTGTGTTTGACTTATTCTTCTCTTTATGGTTTCGATGTCCGTGTTCCCTTCGCATTCGATGATATCGAACACTTTGCATTACTTTGGGTTTAACCTTAACATCATATGATTCTAGTTTCTTAGTTTTTTATTCGGCAATAAGCGTTTGGTTATCATTCACTCAATTTTCGATTGTGCCTCTCGATGTTATGTGCTGTGTACTTCTAATCGGTCATCGAATGATTTCTTTTGTCTATCTTATCGATTTATCAGTCACTCATATTTCTCTTTTCTATTCTCGATCTTTCTTCTCGATTTGCCACTAACAAAATGCCCCCTTGGAAGAATATGAATAGTTTGTTTATATTCTTTCAATATTCCGCCTTAGTGTTTGAGGGCCCATGAGAACTTTTAGGGTTTAGGGTTTCTAGGTTTTTAGGTCTTAAAGGGTTTTAGGT